CTGACAAATTGTCGTGAAAAAATATAATTTGTTTCATATTCTCTGAGGTATCACATGTAAGACGCAGCGTATGTGCACGATTCGTTTTCAAATCTTTTCGATTCGAAATTTTCAAATTATGTCGATTCTGCTTGTTATCTTGATTAACGTACTTCATCGTTCATGTATACGAGCCTTCTTGGAAGCCACTCAAGATGTTCAACAACTTCGACTTCGGACAATCCCATGATTGCCGTCAGTTCGGCGGATTGGAAGATTCCGTTTAGCCCTTTGAGGATCTGCTTTTTTGACCTGCGATATCTAGTCGGGATCGCATACGACAGATCTCAGAACTTAACGTTGATCGTCTGATTGCACGTTATGTTTGTGAAATTGAATTTGCGCTCCATTATGCCAAATTTTACGTTTCAAATAATACTAAGTTTTCGCGGATATTTTCGTGATCTGTCTAGTGTAATGTCTTCTTCTAATCTCTACTGAGTCATATTTATTGGCAGTTTCTGAGCACTGACACTGATTTACGGTTAATTTGGTTCTAAGTTGCCCCAAATATTTTTGATATTATAGACGGTTTGTCTGATGATAATATCCTCTTGTAATCTCTGCTGACTCACGTTTATCGGCAGCTGTTAAACATTGATACGAATAGAATACTGGCGACAATAACAAGTTTCGTAAAATGAGAAATGATCATTACGAGTTTCAATCTTAATTGTTTGCCAATTGAAACGTGCAAAAACTACTTTCACACGCATAAATTTCGCACAAAACACGCACAATTTACTATTTAGTCACAATGTTGTTTTATGATTGGTATCGATTCGATTGTTTCTCTGTGCATGCATTTTAGAGCTAGAAATAATTTGCTTTATTTAGGTTATTTTCGAGAACTATGTCTTTTATCTTCCTTTGCCGCGCAACGGGCCATAAAACTGACGGTCTCGGCTCTTATCCTCAAGGCCGTTGAGATTATAAATGTCGCATCTATGTAGTGCCTATTAAAGATACGTTTGAAAAACGTGCTGATCAGCGGTAATGCGTCATTCTTGTTGTACAATGTACAATATGTAACAAGAATTGTCGTTAGAGCGACATATTAAGATGTGAGTATCGTCATTTTATTCATCAGAGCAGTGACGCCTCTCTGTACAAAATTGTGCTGTTCCACTTTGTTGACAGAAAAGAAATACTTTTAAAGTTAGTGTAGTTCCATAAATTTTCTTTAATATAAATAACGAAAAATATCTAAAAAGAAATATCTAACTTAGCTTAAGTTGTAGAAAGTACATAGATAGAAAATCGTAGTAGTTTATTATAAAACAGATTTGTTTACGTTTAATTGAAGTTTAGTAACTGTTTGTTTCGTTCTTTTTCATCTCACGAGCAAATGAAGAAGGAAAAACATTGTTT